GGTTCCCCATCCCCTGCCCTTCTCTGCTCCTCTGCTGCCTCCGCCGGGTCTGGCAGCGTAGCGGGGGCTCTGCACGACCGATCCCTGTGTCTTCACACCTGACTCAGCCACCGATCGGGAGATGGCGATCAGGTGTCCAAGTGACAGTTGGCTCAGGGCCCGGCCGGCCTGCCTGGGAGGCTGGTCCTGACAGGTCCCTCATTAGGGGCCTGAGTGCTGTCCCTCCACGCCCTGCCATCTGCTCTGTTCTGGGTTGGGCCCTGTCTGGCTGCTACTTCTGTGGTCAGTGTGTGAGGTGGACACAACCGGCCTGCCCCAGGACCTGCTCCAAGCCAGTATGTCGGCGCCGCCGCGAGTTGGGAGAGAGTCCGGCACTTGGACAGCACCATGGACGTTCTGCCCCTGCACAGGCCCGGCCCTCGTGACTGAGAGGCAGGTGTGTGTGGGCTACCTCAGCCCTTGAGAGCTGGGTCCCTCACTCCGGTCCCTGGGCCAGTGGGGAAGAGTGCCAGGTGGACCCGAGAACTCAATGAGACGTAAGTCCCCCAGCACTGGGAGCTGAGGCAGGACATGGACCTGCCGGAATCCAAGCCTCGGAAGACGGTCTCATTTCCAGGGGTGCTGGGCTGGTGTCATGGCGGAAAGTCTGCAGGTGGGCACACTGGCGGGACGTTTTGGCCCCTGCAGGTCACTGGGAGCCGTCCTCGGCTGACCTGAGGCCGTGGCCACCCTAGCAAGCAGCAGAGCGGGGGCCCTGGGTGCCCCCCCAGGGCACAGGTGACTTTAGGCTGCTCCAGCCTGAGGCGAGCCAGCTTTGCGGGGCTCGAAGACTTGGGGGTTGGTTTTAAGAATACAAAGTTAGGCCTGTGTCTTCCAAGCGAGGGGCCCAGAGCGTCTGCTTCCCTGGTTGGAGGGCGAGTCTGATAGAGCCCTGTGCTCCACGTCCCCCAGGACTGGCAGTGGACTGAGGCTGCAGTAATGGCTGGAGCTGACCCGCTGCAGCCTCAGCCCGGCCTCTGCCCTCGGTCACCTCTGCACTTCGCTTCTGGGAACCTTGGATCGCAACGCTGCACCCACTGGCGAATCACCCGGTCTCCCGCGTTTCCAAGTGGGGC